GTAATTCCAGATCTGGTCATGAAAGGGTTCCTGCCTCCAGTTTGGGATTTCCTGACAACACGCCGAGGTTGATGAAAGCATTGCGCTGGGTTTGGCATTGTGCCCGGGATGTGAAAGGGTTACAGCTGCATTTGGCATTTGTGTAATTTGGTAATGAAGGGGTTACGTTCCCCCTCAATGAGGCGGGGGTGCCAGATCGGCAGCGTCCTGCCACGGAAGAGAGTCGAGAGCAGCCGGCTGACTCAGAGAATGTGGGATGCCAATTGTCTCCCCCATAATAACGCCCTGCCACATACTACCTGCCCCGGGTGTAGATGTCTAATCTGTCCGACTATCAGGAGGTCCTGATCCCTCTATATAGATCTATCACTAGAGGGGTCCCCAGCAGGGGGAAGGAGGTCCTGATCCCTCTATATAGATCTATCACTAGAGGGGTCCCAGCAGGAGGAAGGAGGTCCTGATCCCTCTATATAGATCTATCACTAGAGGGGTCCCCAGCAGGAGGAAGGAGGTCCTGATCCCTCTATATAGTCTTCTTCTGTCGTCACTCTTCTATGTAGGTCACTTGGATAGGAAAGGAAATCTCCCCATTGGGATACACATTGTAATGAAAGCCAGAGAGACCCTCTAAGCCCCTCCCCCTCCCAGCATGCCCCCCTCTAACCCCTCCCCATTGTATCCAAACCCAAACGTCTTACTTGTCGTTTTGGTACTCTCCATTTTTGTGGACTTGGTTCTCAAGGGTGAAGTTGAAGTTGAAGCTGATGACTTGCTCGTTGGCGAAGTATTTGGTGCGCGAGGCGTATTCGATGTTCTGCAGATGTTTGATCATGTCCGGGAACCACACCGTCAGTCCGTAGTAGCTGAGGGACACATGTAGAGAACATTAGAAATCAATGGGATGGTGGGGGCCCCTCATAATTGGCACAGCGGGTGGGCGGAGCCGGGAACTCAGCACAGGGATGGTGGGGGCCCCTCATAATTGGCACAGCGGGGGTACAGACACGGGAACTCAGCACAGGGATGGTGGGGGCCCCTCATAATGGGCACAGCGGGGGTACAGACCCGGGAACCCAGCACAGGGATGGTGGGGGCCCCTCATAATGGGCACAGCGAGTGTATAGACCCGGGAACTCAGCATAGGGATGGTGGGGGCTCCTCATAATGGGCACAGCGAGGGTACAGACCCGGGAACTCATCACAGGGAGGGTGGGGGCTCCTCATAATGGGCACAGCGAGGGTACAGACCCGGGAACTCAGCATAGGGATGGTGGGGGCTCCTCATAATGGGCACAGCGGGGGTACAGACCCGGGAACCCAGCCCAGGGATGGTGGTGGCCCCTCATAATGGGCACAGCGAGCGAATAGACCCGGGAACTCAGCACAGGGATGGTGGGGGCCCCTCATAATGGGCACAGCGGGTGTACAGACCCGGGAACTCAGCACAGGGATGGTGGGGGCCCCTCATAATGGGCACTGCGGGTGTACAGACCCAGGAACTCAGCACAGGGATGGTGGGAGCCCCTCATAATGGGCACAGGAGTAGCCAACCGTGGCCCTCCTGCTGTGGTAAAACTACCAATCCTATCATGCCCTCGTCTCTGGGAGACATGCCTGTGTCTTGCAGTGCCTCATGGGACTTGTAGTTCCACAACAGGTGGCGGGCCGAGGTTGCCTTCTCATGTTCTGTATAAACATGAAGAACCCTTTAATTAGGGAGGAGTTATCTTTATAAATGTTACAATAAATGGTAATTAAATTATTATTCTGTCAAAACATCTAAATTCATTTTCGGGGGTAAAAAAAATAAACATTCTGAGAATTCAGTAAAATGAGGTTTGTAGAATCGGGAATTAGCATAACGGAGCTATTCATAGAACATTATTGTCATGTGTTGTACGAGGTCGGAGTTCTTCCTCGCATGTAGATGAGATAACTGCAAGAATTACAAAGTCACGGGATTCAGAAAAACGTTTTCTACAATAGATCGCCGACTTCCTGCCGACTCCCTGCCGACTTCCTTCTGACTCCCTGCCGACTTCCTGCTGACTTCCTTCTGACTCCCTGCTGACTCCCTGACGACTTCCTTCTGACTTCCTGCTGACTCCCTGACGACTTCCTTCTGACTTCCTGATAACTTCCTTCTGACTCCCTGCTGACTCCCTGACGACTTCCTTCCGACTCCCTGACGACTTCCTTCTGACTTCCTGCTGACTTCCTGCTGACTCCCTGCCGACTTCCTTCTGACTTCCTGCTGACTCCCTTGTGACTTCCTGCTGACTCCCTGGTGACTTCCTGCTGACTCCCTGACAACTTCCTTCTGACTTCCTGATAACTTCCTTCTGACTCCCTGACGACTTCCTTCTGACTTCCTGATAACTTCCTGCTGACTCCCTGACGACTTCCTTCTGACTCCCTGCCAACTTCCTTCTGACTCCCTGCCGACTTCCTGATAACTTCCTTCTGACTTCCTGCTGAGTTCCTTCTGACTCCCTTCTGACTTCCTTCAGAGTTCCTTCCGTCTTCCTGCTCAGTTCCTTCTGACTTCCTTCTGCCTTCTTCCTGACTTCCTTCTGCCTTCCCGATGACTTCCTGCACTGGTGACAATCTTGCCGTCTCTGACAATTAATTCATAACTAGATTTCAGGGGTTACACTCTTGGCCAGGTTTGTGCTGCTGAGCCACTGGATTCAACTCGTTAATAATCCATAATTGAAGAAGATCGATACGCGGAAGCCCTCAGTGGCTCCGGTCAGGCTGATCTCAGCACCATCAGGGTCCCCCCCC